GGCGGCGGCGGGGGTGCGGGAGGGGGTAGTGGTGGGGTCGGGTCGTCTGGTGCTGGAGCGGACGAGGGGGCCCTGCCCACTCCAGCTGAGCCGCCGCCCCTGCAGTTGCAGCAGCCGCAGTAGCCGCCGCAGTCGCAGCCTTCGCAGCAGCCGCAGCAGCCGTCGCAGCCGCGGCAGACGAGTGTCCTCCCGCCCGGGTGGCCCGGCGCTGGCGGTGGCTGGGCGCGTGGTGGTGTGCCGAGTGGTGGCTCTGGCGGCGGGCGTTGTCCGTACCAGATCCAGACCGGTCCTCGCCGCGGCTTCGTTTGCGGTAAGATCGGTCACTCCACTCCCCGCTGTTTTCGTCGCCTGGACGACCTGTTTCGTCAGCGCTTCGGCCCGTCGCCAGACCTCCCGGACTGGCACAGTTTGCTTAGTCGTAGTATTCCGATTTTTGACTTGGACATGGATGCCATTGTTTCTGCTCTGCATGTGATGTATGCTGATGACTCTAGTGTGCTTCCCGCTTATTACTCACTGTTGCCTAGTGTAGGTGTGCCTAGCTTAGCCTCCCCTGCTGCGTCAGGCGTAGGACCCCCTGCTTTGTGTAGTCTTGGTGCTTCCGCCGTCGTTCCGTTGCCAGACGCCTCTGCTTCGCTTTCCTTCACCTTGGACTCTGGCGCTTCTCGGTGTTTCTTCCGCGACTCCACCACCCTGACGCCGCTTCCTGTCCCAGCTGCTGTCTCTCTTGCTGACCCCTCCGGCGGTCCGGTCGTCGCCCGCAGTTCCACCACCCTTCCCTGTCCGGCGGTTCCTTCGGGCTCTCTCACAGGTCTGCATATCCCCTCGTTCTCCAGGAACCTAGTTGGTGTCGGCTGCCTCCAGGACCTTGGCGTCACCACTACGTTCCCTGGTCACGAGCGGTATGCTGTCTGTACCAAGGCCGCCACTGGTGCCCCCCTGTCCACGTTCCCCCGGGACCCGGTGTCCGGCCTGTTCACTCTGGACACCGTGACCCCCCCGGCTGGGGCGCCTCCTCAGGTGGCTGCGTCTACCCAGGTTGCTGCTGCCTGCTCCTGTCGGTCCCTCACTCACCCGACTCTCCTTTGGCACCACCGCCTAGGTCACCCTGCGCTCCCGCGTCTGCGTCACATGTCCCAGCACGGTCTTGTCCTTGGTCTCCCAGGTTCCCTCCCCGCGTTTCCCTCCTCCCCAGCCCCACCTTGCACGCCTTGTGTTGAGGGTCGGCTTCGCCGTGCCCCGCACTCCTCCTCGTTTCCCCCTACCGCCGCGCCGCTGCAGACCCTGCACCTGGACGTCTGGGGCCCCGCCCCCGTCCCTGGGCCGCGTCGAGAGCGCTACTTCCTTGTGCTTATCGACCACTTCACTCGTTACACCACAGTCTTTCCCCTGGAGCGCAAGGCCGACGTGCCTGGCGCTCTCATCCCCTGGCTTGTCTCTGCGCATGTCCACTGCGGTCTTCCTGTCTTGCGTCTTCACTCCGACCGTGGTGGCGAGTTTGCCTTAGGTGTCCTTGGTCGCTTTTGTCGTGCGGAGGGCATCACCCAGACGTTCACCCTACCGGACTCCCCACAGCAGAATGGGGTCGCTGAGCGACGCATCGGTTTGGTCATGGAGGTCGCTCGCACCTCCATGATCCATGCCGGTGCACCCCATTTTCTGTGGCCGTTCGCTGTGCGCTACGCTTCTCGCCAGCTTAACTTGTGGCCGCACCCTCAGCAGCCGCAGGTTTCGCCGACTCGTCTTTGGACTGGGTCTCCTGGTGACGCGTCTGCGTTCCACGTCTAGGGCTGCCTTGCTCACATCCGTGCCTCCGGCACGGACAAGCTCACTGCCCGCACCCTTCCCTGCGTCTTCCTCGGTTTTCCCCTTGCCGCGTCCGACTGGCACTTTTACCACCCGCCGTCTCACCGCTTCTTTCACTCTCGTGACGTCACCTTTGACGAGTCAGTCTCCTATTACCGTCGCTTCCCCCACCGTGGTCCCCCGGTTACCCCCCCCCTGTTCCTGGTCACTCCTTCCCCCACCGTGGTCCCCCGGTTACCCCCCCCCTGGACGCACTGGCCTCCGTGAAGGCAGAGCTGCTGAAGAGACACACGTGCACTGACCTTGGAGAACTGCGCCGTTACCTTGGCTTGCAGATCTCCAGGGACAGAGCAGCGCGCACCATCACCCTGACTCAGTCACACTTGGTGCGCCAGGTCCTTCAGAGGTTCAGCCTTCAGTTCTCCTCTGCACAGCCCACCCCTCTGCCTGTAGACCACAGACTCTCCGCTCCAGTGTCTGAGGAGTCGGTAGAGCCCAGCGGCCCCTACGCAGAGCTGGTGGGTTGCCTCATGTACCTGATGACTTGCACTCGCCCAGATCTCGCATACCCTCTCAGCATCCTGGCTCGCTTTGTGGCCACAGGCAGACACCGACCGCAGCACTGGTCTGCCGCTAAGAGGGTTTTGCGTTATCTTGCTAGTACATCGGGCATGGGGTTAGTGCTAGGAGGACGTAGGCCAGTGGTCCTTACTGGACACACAGACGCTTCGTGGGCAGACGACGCCCAGACACTCAGGTCTTCCCAGGGCTACTGCTTCAACCTTGGTTCAGGTGCCGTCTCTTGGAGAGCTACCCGCTCCTCGTCTGTTGCTCAGTCCAGCTGTGAGGCCGAGATCTACGCTGGTGCCATGGCGGCACAGGAGCTCCGCTGGCTGACCTTCTTGCTCACTGACTTAGGTGAGCGGCCTAGCTCTGCCCCAATCCTGTTCGCTGACAACAGGGCCATGATCCTCCTGTGTCAGGAGCCTCGACTCGAGGGCAGAGCGAAGCACATTCAGCTGCGGTACTTCCTCCTGCGTGAGCTACAGCAGCGACGCCAGGCTCGCGTAGTACACTTGGCCTCAGGTGCCAACACAGCTGATATCTTTACGAAGGCGCTTGCGCCTAAAGATCATCAGCGGCACTGTGTACAGCTTGGTTTGGTTCCTGTAGCCTCTCACTTGCTAGGGCCTTGACTTTGTACTGTCCTTTATATGTGTACTCAGACTGGACTTGTGTCCTCTTCTAGTGGCTGGACTAGTAGTACCGCCCTAGCCTTGTTCTTGCCTTGTCTGTACTCCTTGTGACTGGTCTTTTAGACCCTTGTCTCAGAGGTTGGACTAGTAGTGCCGCCCTGAGCTGCTTGTTTATGACATTCCCCTATGCAGTCTAGGGGGTGTGTCAAACATGTGTAGTCGGTATGTTTGTATAGACTGTATAGGGTCACCTCTTAGAGGGTACAATTGTTAGGTATATCTTTTTGTACTCTCTCACTAGTTATTATTCACTTCTCCATTTTGATACATATATCTCATATGAGAAATAGTCAATCAATCGTGTATATCATATCAGTGCATTCATAAAATTAGATATAATGTTAGTGTATCCAATACAGTTAGAAATAGTTACATGGTTGGCGTTCGTGTCCGTATTTGCTTATTATATTCCTTGTGAATCAGAGTTTGCGCTACTGTTTCAAAGTCGTGCCACACTGTTTGAATCAGTTCTTGTTGTTGTTCGTCTTAGCTTGTAATGTGTTCTAAAACATTTTATTCCTTATTGTTCCACTGTAGCCAGATTTTCGTAATGTATCTTCTGTTTTTTTTTCGCTTTGATTTGTTTCGCCTTTCCGCCAAATGCCCTGCCACTGGGAGTTTTCGTTGTGACTTCGTCTGATTATGTGGTGACTGTTCCCACTGTCAACGACTTGTGACGAACGAATCTGGCCACCTGGCGATTTTTGTTTTATTTTTCTTGTGGCGAGGGTCGTCAGGCGCAACTGCCAGACGAAAGAAAAATCTGACGTGGCGATGACACCCGCCTAGCCACACTCGCGACATGATTCTGATTTTGTTTTCGTCAAGCAGTGGCAAAACCCTCGAGCTCGCCACTGTATGCATTAAAGCGAGAGGTCAAAATAGTGAAGGCGGGTCCAACTTGAAAAGGCCCAGACGTCTGTTTTTGCGACTAAGGGACAAAACTACGATGGGGCAGAGGGTACACAATCGAGAAATGCAAGCAGGGAAAACTAGGCGAGAAGATGCAGTTACCTGATTGGTTGGCGGGGAAAATATGTCGTACGGTAGGGAAAATTGCTCGGGCAAATTGCAAGCAGCGCGCCACCTGTCGCCCAGCCCCCACTGCTTGTAAGCTGCACCAAGTGGGCCCAACTTGAATTTCAAGTTGGACCCGGGTTCACTACACCAGCAACACTGAGGCTGGGCCCCGATTGGTCGAAATGCCAACCACACAAATCTACGGTCGTAAAATTTGTCGCCAGTGCGAAATGTCGCAAGCGCAATTCGATTTCGTGGCCTACGGCTTGGTAAAAAACGGGGGCTGCTGCCTGCCCCTCCAAAAACATATTCACTGCTGGGTCGTTTCTAATTGGGCCCAACTAGAAAGGGGGGTCACTATTATAGTCTCTCGCTTTAAGCGCGGATCCCAAACCCCCGAAGTCAAAAACTTAGGTTTTGAGAGGGGAGTTGGGCGAAATTCGCGAGACTCACGAAACGCAGCAAAGGAAGTGGGTTGGTTGGACGCGAGGGGCAATGATGGCCTCTCGAACAAAGCCCTACATCGCCCAGCATGAGCAGTGTCGCCAGCCCTCCCAGGCGACGAATTGGCACTACGCGACGTCGCCCAGCCCACACCAGCACACCCAGCGCCAAAGTATGTGGTAAGAACAAAAGGGAGCGCGCTACGCTAAAAGAAACAGTGAAAAACCTGGCCATGTGCAAGATACGAAATAAAACAAAAGACAAGCATATAATCAACCTACAACCAAAATTGCACCTCGAGTCAAAATAAATGCATGGGCTTGCATTTTTGGTCCAGCAGTAGGGACACAAGGAAACAGTGCCACAAATATTAAACGGCGAGTCAAATCCATTTTTGTTAGCATATAGGCTTATAAATTTCATTTCATACCATGCGCCAGTGAATTCCCCTGAAATCCATACAAGCGAATACGCGCTAAAATTCGGGTGAAAATGGCACCCCCTGCAAGAGTTTATCCGTGCAGTGAAAGGAAGGGGGAAGGGGGAAATGGGAGGAGTATGGGAGCAAGGGATGACGGGGAGATGGACAGAGAGATGGGCAGAGAGAGATTTTGAGATACGCTCGGGAGAGAGGGGGAAGCGGAGAGGAAGAGAGGGGGAAGCGGAGAGGAAGAGAGGGGGAAGCGGAGAGGAAGAGAGGGGGAAGCGGAGAGGAAGAGAGGGGAAAGCGGAGAGGGAGAGAGGGGGAAGCGGAGAGGGAGAGAGGGGGAAGCGGAGAGGGAGAGAGGGGGAAGCGGAGAGGGAGAGGGGGGAGCGGAGAGTAAGGGGGGGGAAGCGGAGAGGAAGAGAGGGGGAAGCGGAGAGGAAGAGAGGGGGAAGCGGAGAGGAAGAGAGGGGGAAGCGGAGAGGGAGAGAGGGGGAAGCGGAGAGGGAGAGAGGGGGAAGCGGAGAGGAAGAGAGGGGGAAGCAGAGAGGGAGAGAGGGGGAAGCGGGGAGGAAGAGAGGGGGAAGTGGAGAGGAAAAGAGGGGGAAGCGGAGAGGAAGAGAGGGGGAGGTGGAGAGGAAGAGAGAGGGAAGCGAAGAGGAAGGGAGGGGCTATCCTCTCCTTCTCCTATCCGTCCTCTATCCTTCCCCTTCCCACCCTCTCTCCTTCCCCTTTCTGTCCTCTCTCCTTCCCCTTCCTGTCCTCTCTCCTTCCCCTTTGCCACCTCTCTTTCCTTCCCCTATCCGTCCTCTATCCTTCCCCTTCCCGCGGCTGCAACTGCGGCTGCGGCGGCTGCAGGAGGGCAGCAGGCGGGCAGCGGGCGAAAAGCGGGCGGCGAGCAGCAGACGGCGAGCAGCGTGCTACCCACAGCGGGCGGCTAGCAGCGGGCAGCGAGCAGCGGGCGGAGCGCAGCTGGCGGCGCGTAGCGGGCGGCGAGCAGCGGACAGTGGGCAGCGCGAGCAGCGGGCGGCAGCGGGCAGCATGAGCAGGGGACAGCGGCCAGCGGCAGGGGGCGGTGCGAGCGCGAGCAGCGGGCAGCACGGACAGCGGCCCACGCAAGCAGCAGGAGGGCTGGTCGCGACGCGAAGGGTGGGAGGACGGTACGGCATAAAATCGCATGCTACGGGCGATTTTTTTTTGCCAGAAGATGCGGCTCTAAGGCGAGAGTGAGGCGGGAGGGTGCGTGCACTCCTTTGGCGCTGCGTATTCGCCGCGCCACGAGAGTTTCTACTGGAAATGTTCTCAAAAAATGGTTAAGATCTAGTGTGTCTAGTTGCCTGGGCGAGCTGGTCCCGAAACTGCTCGATGGTCCAAGTTTTTTAACCTGGGAGGGGAAGGTGGGCGATGGATTAGAGGTGGGATTGTCGCAGGGAGGGGGTGTGTGTGGAGTGGGGGCCAATCAGTAGCATTCTTGTTGGATTTTGGGTTGTCGCTTGGCAAAACGGGTAACCCTGTGAACGGAGGTTGGATCTCAAAAACTTAGGACTAGACTTTCGGGGGTTTTGGGATCCGCGCTTTAAGCGTTACATACTCGCATTCCAAGGTTACACTACCAGTAATTCCCGTTAAAATAATATAATTACGTGAATTTCAGTGTCACAGGGCAATTTCTGACCGAAAAAAGGCTTCTTCAGAACTGCAAAAACGTGGCTCCAACGCAGCTGGTCCGCTCGAGGGTTCAGAAAGCTGCAAAATCGTTGTGGTTTCAGCCTTACTCTTCGAGCATCTTCTGTGTCTTCCTCCATATCCTAATCTCATGTCTTGCTTCATTCCAGCACATAGTGAGTATGGCAGCCCTTGGTTAGGCAGCAACGCGTCAGATGCTGCCGTTTTTTTGCTCCTAACTGACGATAGATTGCTCTAGCTCTGTAGACATAGTGGCTTACCTACCTTTCCGTGCAGTCATATCATAAACTTTTCTCCGTATTTCTTCTCTCACACTTTTCAATAAAGGAAAAGTAAGTGGTCGATTTCAGTTTAGATACAGGATATACGTTCTAACCCCTCCTCTCACCCGCTTTTCCTCTTCTCCGCTCGATTCCTTCCCCTTCCTTTTCATCAAGCTCTTACATTGTTTTCCTTTTTCCATCCTGAATTCGCATCTTGGAAACGCGGTAAGCACAAGCCATTTTCCTTTCCCCCATTGGCCTCTCTTATCACCTCTCTGTCTTCCATCCACGTCACCTTGTCCATCCCCCGAATTCTTCGTTTTTCTCATTTGTTCGTTCCATTCAATCCTTGTGCCACCTTCACTTTCGTTTCCTATCTCGCTTACGCGTTCTATTCAACTTCTGTCCCCTGAATGTGGTACTAAGCGTGCATGAGAAAGTTACATGAGAAATTGAGAGTGCATACCTCGGTAAGTTCTCTCCCTCCATCTCTTTTTATTCCTTCTGTTCCTATTCTTTATTATTTACTTTCTCACTTCGATGTTCTGCCCAATTCTTTTTTTAGACTTTCTACCTTTCAAATTTCCTTCTTTCTCTCCCTCCACCCTCACTTCGTTTCTCCTTTCATGGCTAACGTCCTTCCTTCCTTCCTTACTTGCTTCCTTTCCTGTTGATTTCCTTCTATCTTGCATTCCTTGTTTTCTGCCCATGTTCTTGTTTCTTTTGATAATCTTTTTTTTCCGTTTAATTTATTCCTTCTTTCTCTCTTGTTTTCAGTTGTCATTTAATTTGTTGGCTTTATTCTATTTTGTTTTTATCTGTCTTGAATTCTCTTTGTTATTTTAAGTTATTGGTTCTTTTACATGTTTATGAATCACTACGTCTTGTACTTTCTTACTCGCAATTGCTCATACAATTCGTGTTTCATACGTGCCCATTTGCCTACGGATGGCCTTTTATGTTTGGCTATTGTGACACATGCTTTATTGTATTTTTCCTCTCACAATCACACATGGGTTGACTTCACATGCTTATTCGTTATTGCCCTAGCTCCTAATCATTCACTGCTTTCCATATACAAAACCTGACATACTATCCACATTCGTCCATTTTGATTTTGTGCTGGTTTTCTCGTAAATGGGTTTCTGAGCTCCCTACAGCGTTTAGCATCTTATTTTCAGCTTTATATTCTTATAATTACTTGCATCGTTCGTTTGATTTTGATGGGTCTTGCTGTTGTTTGCTCTCATTTTTTGGCAAAATTGATCTCAATAGGTTGCTCCGCAACCCCAAAAAAATCGGGTTTGATTCGCATTGCATATGATTTGTAGTTTCCGCCACGTGTGGTCACTTCTGGCGACAATTCACATCCCTTGCGACTATCTGTGACGCCAACTGCGGCAGAGTCGCAGAAATTAGCCTCGGCGACATTTCACAACCTCTGCGACTTTTTGTGATGGCTGTTGCGACAATGTCGCGTAGTTTTAAAAGGGGGCGCAAGTTTGAGATTTGGCGCCAATTGAGGGCAAATCTGCTCCCACTGCAGCCCCTTCCCGATGGCCAATTGGAGAAGTGTACAAGGCGCGATGCGCGAGCTGGAATCTGACGCGCAGCGTCGCGTCTTTTTTCACGCAAGCCCTGTCCGAAGAAACACCAAATATTCGTGGTTCGGGTAAATATGCCGGAACATTAACGATGGTCATGGTAAACCTCTCGTAATTACAGGTTGTGTGAAACCTGCTATCAAAGGTGGGGGGGCTCGGGAGTTTCGCTATGGGAAGTATCTAATGCTAGAAAAACAAACCGGAATGCAAGAACCGTTACCTGAGTCATTTTCCCTAAATTGTTCCCTCTAAGAACCGTCCCTCACGATGAATCGCCTCGCCTCGCCTGCTGACCGCAGCCCACCCCAGCCACACCAGCACAGCTGAGCTTCTGGTCCATGTCGCATGGGCTGCTTGGCAATTCGTCGCATCAGCACGCACAGTTGAGCTGGGATCAGCCGAAGTTGAGCTGGGCAATCTCACCTTGCTGTCAGTGGTCTTTCCTGTCAATTTCCTTCCTGCCTCCTCCATCGTGCCTTCTGCCCATGCGCTGCGCACGGACTAATTTTCCATGCTTCAATCTTGTCCAAGCCTCTCTTGTCGTGTCAGACTCTTGACCCATGGCATGCCACTACTGTTCACTAGTAGCGGAGAGATCGCACCAGAGCACGTGCGCACGAATTCTTGACTCAGCCGAGTCAGCAGCATCTCGCAGCGCAACTTCCAAGTCTTCCGCGTTTTATTGCCGCCGACGTTACCCCGCGGCTACTCCTAGCCTCACGTGTCTTCGGCTGAGTATGTTTGCCATAAACAGCAGCACATCGGGCGTCTCCTCCCCTGGTCTCATCATGGATAGAGCCTCCAAGTTTCTTGTCTCGGTGTCACTAGTACTTCCGTCGTCGCTACGTCAGAACCCTCGGCAAACTTCCTGCAAAACCGAGCCTTTTCGAGTTAGTACTACCAACGACCCTTCCGAGCAGCCATCGCTACTACCACTAACCCGCCTCAGGCTGTCGTGCCGCGGTTTCGCCGCGTCCCAACCGCCGCCATGGCGACTCCGACTCATTGCCTCTCCGCGTCGCGCCTCTTTCTCCTGCTCGTCCTCTCCTCCGCCATTTACGGCGCGTCCGCCGGACGCGGGTCCCCGCTGAACAACCTCTTCCGCCCCATCGCGGAATTAATCACGCGTCACCCCCGAGCGCGCGGAAATCCGGTCCCGCGCTGGCGCAACCCGCACAGTGTCCCCTCGCAGCTCATCAAGGTCCTCCCGCACGCCGCGCAGTCCGCCGCCGACGCCATGAGCGCACTCAGCGGCGCGACTGACGACTCGGCCAGCGGCAGCCGCGGCAGCGCGTCCGGCGGCGGCCGCGGCCGCGTCAGGACGTTCGCGAAGCCCGGCGGCGGTGGCGGCTCGAAGACGTACTTCAACGTAATCGAAGTCACCAAGCCCCTGCCCCGGCCCACGGGGTCCGCGCTCTGCGGCAGCGCGACGCCGCTCGTGGACGCGCCGTTCGGCAGCACCTACGGGTCCCCGGCGACTGCGGGCAGCTACGTCATTCCCGCCGCGTGCGCTGTAAGCCCGACCCGTCCAACCCACCGTTCTGGCTGAGCTGAAACACCTTGGATATTACAGCGTGAGGTTGCCAGGCCTATGCATGTGATGCCCCTCCGCGTGGTTCATGGTGGCAGCAAAGCTTCAACATTTCACAGAAAAGTCGCTGCACCTCCCTCCCTCCCCTCCCTCCCCTCCCTCCCCTCCCTCCCTCCCCTCCCTCCCTCCCTCCCCCCCTCCCTCCCCTCCCTCCCCTCCCTCCCCTCCCTCCCCTCCCTCCCCTCCCTCCCCTCCCTCCCCTCCCTCCCCTCCCTCCCCTCCCTCCCCTCCCTCCCCTCCCTCCCCTCCCTCCCCTCCCTCCCCTCCCTCCCCTCCCTCCCCTCCCTCCCCTCCCTCCCCCCCATCCCCCACTCCCCTCCTCCACCCCCCCCCCCCCCCTCTTTCCCCCCCTCCAACCCCCCTCCCGCCCCTCCCGCCCCTCCCTCCGTCCTTCACCCCCTTCCTCCTACCTCCCCTTCCTCCCTTCCCTCCCCTCCCTCCCCTCCCTCCCCCCCTTCCCCCCCTCCGCCCCATCCCCCTCCTCCTCTCCCTCCCCACCACCCACCGTGCAGGGCGAGTGGTCCATGGCGGTGATGAACGTGAGTGTGCTTGTGAAAGGCGTGCAGTTCGACCGCCGCATGTCCGTCTTCATTGGCGACCTCGAGGTCTCGCGCTCCATGTACGCCAACCCTATCCTTCCATAATCCCACCCTCCTTTCCTTCGCTTCCCTCTTTGGTTTTCGCGCATGAAGGCAAACGCCATATCAGGTATGTGGACGACTAATGCACTGTACCTCTCTCCCTCCCTCCCTCCCTCCCTCCCTCCCTCCCTCCCTCCCTCCCTAAACCCTCTCTCTCCCTCCCTCCATGTGTCTGCAGCACGGCCGAGCCTCTGGGCACGTCAGTGAAGTACTCTTTTGAGCGGGACCTCACGCCGCTCGCGCTTGCCGTCAGGACGGTGAGTGCCGCCCCGCATTGCTGCTGGCTCATCGGGACCTCACACTTGACTGCCCCGTTCGTTGCAGATGCGTTGTTGAGTCTATCCAGGACTTGTCGCCTCACAGCACACACAGCAGGGAATCTTACCAGCGGCCCACTGCACTCTAACCATTCTCGCTCCATCTCATCCTTGCAGGCGCTGATGCACGCTGTACTGTACTAACCCCGTTTATCGCTTTCCCTCTACTCTCCCCTCTTTCTCTGCTGTCTGCGTTCACCCTCTCTTCCTCTCCAACAGAACAACGAGCTATCAGTTTACCTTGAGAACGTGGTTGACCGCACTTACACAGGTATTCACAGCGCAACATTTTTCCCTGTATGCACTTCACCTCTGAACAGATTTATTTCCAGCCTCACTCCCCCTTCACTCATAGAGACGTCTCTTCTCCTTATTCCTTCAGCCATTCTCCCTATCCTCCCTCATGCACACCTTACTTCCCTCCCTCCCCTCCCTACTTTCGCTCGTCCTCTGTAAGCTCCCTTACCCTCACCTTACCCCTCCGCATACCCCTCCCCCTCCTTGCCCCTCCTCTCCCCTCTCTCCCACCAGGCATATTCTACGTGACCGTCTCTCTGCTCTTCTACACAGGAGGAGCAGTGCCCGCCTCCCCGCCCTCCGCCATTCTCCCCTGGTACTCCCCCGGCGTCCTCTCGCGCTACTTCAACATCACGGGCGGCGCTGTTCTCTCCGCCTCCTCTGCACTCGCGGGCTTTCCCCCCAACACTGTGCGCGCGCGCTTTGACCTGCTCATGTCCCTGCACGCGGCGGACGAGTTCTACCAGTTCAACTACCCCGACTCGTGGGTCCCCTCACCCCTCTCTCCTCCGATCTCCTTCTCTTCTCCACTCTCTCTGCCTCTTTTCTCCCTCCTCCCCTTCGTGGCCTCCTGCGCCTGCTCGTGTGTCAGCGCACGCTCAGGACGAATTCAATCAGTTCAACTACCCCAACTCATGCGCCCACTCTCGTGCTCGCTCCCCCTCTCCCTCCTGTTGCAACTCTCGTTGCTATACAGTATAATTCCTTCATCTCCTCACGTTCCTATGTTCTCTCTGCTTGCGCTCTCTCTCCCTATGCCTTGCCTTGCTTGTCCCCCTCTTGTCCTCCCCCCTCTCTCCCCCTTCTTCACCCCCCGCCAGAGCCACCTTCCAGCCGGAGGGGGGGCCCTTCCGCGAGCTGGTGCTGCAGATCGACGGCATATTCGCCGGCTCCGTGTTCCCCGCGCCCGTCTTCTACACGGGCGCCGTGCACCCGCTCATGTGGTCGCCGCTCGTCGGCAACGGCAACTTCCACATCCCCGTCTACTCCTTTGACCTCTCGCCCTTCGCCGCGCTGCTGTCCGACGGCAGCTCGCACACCTTCACTGTGGCGATTCCCAAGGCCGTGCTGAACAGTAACTGGTACTTCACTGGGAGTGTGCATCTGTGGACGGATGCCGGTGTGGCTAGCACTGCTGGACCTGCACCCACTGTCACGGTAAGTTGGTTTTGGCTAAGTATGGTTTTGCCACCACCTCTCGCATTTCCAGATTCTCTCTTCTTGCCCTCCTTTTTCTCTCCCCCTCTCATTGCTCCCTTCTGCTCCTGTGCGCATCCTCCCTCACTGTTTTTCATCCTCCTCCCCCCTTTCCCAACAGGGTGGTGACCTGGTAACGCCCATCACAGAGACTGCTACCGGAGAATCCGGCACGAACGGAGTGTTCGGCACGACAGCAGCACGTGACTACACCATCACAGGCACAGTCACCACTGCAGCCGGTGCTGTGGAAACCGTGGTCACCGGCTCTCTTGCCTTTGATGCCACGGTCACATCGGCTAGCAACCAGTGGGTGCAGGTGTGGCGCCAGAACATCCTTTCTGCCATTACCGTTACACGGTCCGTTCCAGGGGACACGGCTACAGTCGCATCGATGACGGTTGATCAGTTCATCTTCCCTCTGTTCATGAACCAGACTCGTCTTGATGGTGAGTTATGATGTAGGTGTACGTTCTGGTGCTGTCCTCTGTCCCCACTCTCATCTCACTCTCTTTGTAACCCTCTCCTCGTACTCCTCTCCTTGTCGTCTACCTCTTGAGACTCCATCCCCTTCCTGCCGCTTCTGCTGTCTCGCCTTCCAGACATTGGCCCACATGCTCTTCTGCACATTCCATTGCCAGTGCCTAACCGTGCACTGCCCTCCTTCACATCCTCATCTCACTCTCTCTCTCCCTCTCATCTTCTCTTCTTCCCCTGTCGCAGCCGCTGGCTCCGTGTATTTCCTCACCAACAACACCTTCAACTTCTATCAGCCCATGGACGCCTCTCCCTCGGCCGCCACCCAGACGTACCTTCACAACGAGAGGATCGCCGGGTTCAAGGAAACGTACACTGCTGCGGGCGCGCTCAGGAGCCGCACCATCTACTCCAACCATATGTACGAGCTCGACAGCACCACCGGGGGTGGCTGCTATCTGAGGAAGGTGGTGGCCCAGCCCCCCCCAGCAGGGATCCAGTCGGATATGGTGTCCACGGTCTGCTAGATTGGAGAGTGAGAGGGCAGTGGAGGGGCAGTGGAAGGGCGTGGATGGGCAGGGGTCTGGGGATGGAACCAGCTTTGAGGCGCTTCAAAAGAGGGATCCAGTATGGCGTGGTGTCTACGGTGTGCTAGGTAGGACGATGGAAGGCCACTGAGGGCAGGGGGTGGGTTAAAACTAGGAGTCTGTCGTGTGTGGTGTCTACTACTGTGCTAGGTTGGACTGGAAGGACACGCTTTCCTTGGTGTTAGAGTTCATACATATTTGTGTTAGGTGCATATTAACTATAGCCTAGCTATGTGCAGTTTACAACACCTAAATGCCCTTGTCCATGCCCTTGTCTGACTTGCTTAATTCTCTCTCGATATGGTATCGAGCTAGGTTAGTGCCTAGCCTCCACGCTTCGGGCCTAGGTGCTCCCCACTCCTCTTCCACCCTAGCTTACCTCCTTAGACTAGGTTAGGCCCTAGTCTGCCGCCCTAGCCTGCGCCCTAACCTGCACTCTAGTCCTAGGCCGCAGCCCCGCCTCTGCGCTGCCCGCTGCTTGCCGCCAGCTGAGCGCCGCCTGCTGTACTCGCTGCTCGCTGCTGCCCCTGCCAGTGCGCTGCCCGCTGCTCGTCGCCAGCTGCGCGCCACCGCCGTGCCTGCCTGCTCGCACGCCGCCGGCTCGCTTGCCGCCTGCAGCTCACAGCCGCCTGCAGCTCACAGCCGCCTGCCTGCTCACGCGGCGTGCTTTCTGCTGCGCTGAGCTGTGTGCGAGCCAGCGCGCGTCCTGCCACTGGTCGCCTGCCGCTCGCCGCCTGCCGCTCACCGCCTGCCGCTCGCCGCTGCTGCCTGCTGCTGACCGCTGCCACTGCCGCTGACCGCTACTGGCCACTGCTGCTCGCCACTGCAGCCTGCCGCTCGCCGCTGCCACTCGCTGCTGCCGCCTCGCCGCTGCCGCTTGCCACTGGCCGCTGGCCTACCGCTCGCCACTGCCGCCTGCCGCTCGCCGCTGCCTCGCCGCTGCCTCACTGCTGCCTCCTTGCCGCTGCCACCTGCCGCTGCCGCCTGCCGCTGGTCGCCAGCTCCTGCCGCCTGCCTGCCGCTGGCCGGCGGCTGCTGCCGCATGCAGGCTGCCAACCGCCTGCCGCTGCCGCCTGCAGGCCGCCTGCCGCCTGCCGCTGCTACCTGACACTGGCGGCTAGCTACTGCCGCCTGCCGACCAGCTGCCAGCCGCCATCCGCTGTCTCCCAGCTACCAGCCGCCTGCCCCTAGCAGCCTGCTGCAGCTGCCAGCCGCCAGCCGCTAGCTGCCGGCCGCCAGCCACTAGCTGCCAGCAGCCAGCCGCGACCACCCGCCACTAACTACCGGCCACCTGAAGGCCGTTACTGGCCGCCTGCTGCCCCTCAGTAGCTGTCTGCCGCCAACTCCCAGCCACCCGCCGCCGGCCTGCCGAAGCCGCCAGCTGCGCCTCAGCAGCGACCTGTGCAGGCGCCGCCGCTCCACCCCTAGGAGCTGCCACTGGACCTGTCACCAACTCTGCCGCTGTCGCTGCTGTCGGGTCTGCCGCCGTCCGCCGCTGCTACCGGCCCCGGTTCTTATTCGGGTGTGTCTGACCCTTGGTTCTCTTGCCGGCATGACGACCCCTTGGGCGTCGGTGTTTGTCCTTCGACTGGATGCCGATAGACGTGTGGTGGGCTTCTCGGCGTGGCTCCTTGCTCTCCACTGGCAGCTGCTGAGCCAGTGTGTGGACGGCGCGGCACTGGCGGCCCATGGGACTGGTGAACTGCCCGGCCCCCCTTGATCCCCTAGGCTCCGAGGCGACGTCGGCGCACCATGAGGCGTTTGCAGCTGCTTGGACCACACGCTCCGTCTATGACTCTCATAATGCTGCTGCATTGGTGGCCATCACACGGTCTGCCGGTTGACAAGCACGCCCACTTCGAGTCATAGGAGACGGCTTGGGACCTCTGGGATGTGATCGTTGCTTGCCACTCGGCCTCGTCCTCCACCACTCTCGGCCGTCTCCTCCTCCTTTTCCTCTTCCTTGACCTGGCCTCCTTCTCCACGGCCGTGGACCTCGTCTCGCACCTGCGCTCTCTCGAGACTGGCTTTCGTGCGGCATGCACCAAGGCCCAGCTCGCCGAGCATGCCCCGCCCACATATCACTCTTTACCTCCTCGCCACCCACCTCCCTGGCCGCCTCGCCCCTGCACGCGATGCCCTCCTCGCACTGCACCTCACTAAGCTCACCGTATACCTCTTCTCCTCCTCCCTGATGGAGATCGAGACCTGCCTCCGCGCTATCACTCAGACCACTGGCGCGGTGGTGACCACTGGCGCGGTGTTATCTTTCAGGGCTGCCCTCCGCCCCAGCTCCCTATCCCTGGCGCCTCTGCCTCTACTGCTGAGACCGCTGTGGCGACCACTGCCACCGGCCGCCCTGCTCGGCGCTTGTAGCGCTGTGGTGGTCGTGGGGCCTTCGCAGCGGCGGGAGTGGGGGTTGCTGGCCCAGGGAGCTGGTGGAGGAGAGGGTGCTGAGGAGGAGGGGGAGCAACAGCCACAGCAGCACCAGCAGCCTCAGCGGCAGCAGCAGCCGCCACAGCAGCAGCAGCATCAGCGCCTGCAGACGTAGTCGATTCCTGGGAGTTCAGGGCGTGGTGCGGGCCCCGGTGTGTGGACCCTGGGGCAGTCATTGCCCTGGGGCTCGCATGACTCCTCCGGGGGCCAGGGTGATGTGGAGCCTGGGGGTCATGTGCGGTATGTGTACCAGATCCAGACTGGCCCCCTACGCGGCCAGGTCTGTGGGCGCATGGGTCACCCCGTCGCTCGCTGCTTTCGCCGCCTGGACAATCTAATACGTGGTCACTTTGGGCCCCTAGCGGCACCACCGGACTGGTCTGCCCTTATCCGCCGCAGCATGCCGGTGTTTGACTTAGAGATGGCTCAGATAGGCTCTGCCATGCTATCTTTGCTTATGGTGTTGTTGACTCATATTATCCTGCTGTGTGTAGTCTAGGATCCACTAATGTGTGTACTCTAGGATTCTCTACTACGTATAGTCTAGGCTCCTTGCTGCCCCCTCCTGTCGCGGCCCTCTCCTTCACACTGGACTCTAGCACGTCTCACTTCGAATTCGGAGACCGCACTGCTCTCACACCGCTTCCTGCACCAGTACCGGTCTCCCTCACAAATTCCCTTGCTGCAGTCATCGTTTGCAGCACCACGGCCCTCCCCTGTTCGGTTGTCCTGCGGCTCCCTCACCGGCTTGCATATCCCTCCGTTTGCCAGGAACCTGGCTAGTGTTGGTCATATTCAGGACCTCGGTGTCACCACTATGTTCACTAGCCACGAGCACCCGTCTCGCCAGCTTTGATCGCGGCCCAGCGTCCAGCCTCTTCATTCTGCACATGGAGTCCCCTAAGGTAGCTCCGTCCACCCAGGTAGCTGTGTCCTGCTCCTGTCACTCCCTCTCCCACCCGGCAATCCTGTGGCACCATGGCTTAGGTCACCCTGCTCTCCTGTCTTCGTCATTTGGTACAGCACGTGCCCCTCACTGGTCTCCCCGCATTGCTCCCCGCCCTCCCCGGCATGGTAGCGTCCGCGTGCACCTCCTGCGTCAAGGGCCGACAGCATGACGCCCCTGACTTCTCCTCATTTCCTCTGACCACTGCTCTACTGCAGACGCCACACATGGACGCCTAGGGCCCCGCCCCGATCGAGGGACCTCACAGTGAGTGCTTCTTCCAGGTTGTTGTCGACGACTTCCCATGGCTCACCACGATGTTCCCGTTGGAGCGGAAGGCAATATGCCTCACGCCCTCCTCCGGTGGCTCCACGCCGTCCGCACCCACTGCTACCTACCCATGCTCCGTTTTCACTCTGACTGTGGTGGCGAGTTCACCTCCAGTCGTCTTGGCACGTTCTGCCGTGCGGGGGGCATCACCTAGGTGTTCACCCTATCGGACTCGCCGCAGTAGAATGGGATAGCTGAGTGCCGCATCGGCCTAGTCATAGAGGTGGCTCGCACCTCCATGGTCCATGCTTGTACCTCCGCGTTTCATGTATGGGGCTGCCTAGCTCACGTCCGCGCACACACGCAGATAAGCGCTGTCCCCTGTGTCTTCCTCGGTTTCCCGCTCGATGCCTCTGACTGTCTGTTCTACCATCTGATGCAGCACCACTTTTTTCACTCTCGTAACGTTTTGTTTGATGAGTTTGTCTCGTTCTACCGTCGTTTTCCTCATTGTGGTACTCGTGTTCAGCCCCCTCTCTCTTCCTCGCCCCTCCCCCGCCTGCCGTTTCCCTCCCCTCCCCCCCCCTCCCACGCCTCTCCCCTCCCCTCGGTTAGGCCTATGGGGGAGTCTACTGACTATGGGAGTCCCGTGGCTGGGGATGCGCCTGCTGCCGCTGTGGCGCCTCGCCACCCAGCCCCGATGCCCCGTACACCTCAGCAGCCTCACCCGCTGCCGCTGCCGCAGCAGCAGCCACTTTCCGCTGCCCGCTGCCGATGCTTCTGCTGGTGCCTGTGTCCTCATCACTACTGTCGCACTTTGCTACGAGCCACTGCCTTGACTACGCTGCCGCTCTGGTCTCTGACCCTGCCTATCCTCCGTCCGTCGAGGAAGCACCTTCCATTGGCAGAGACGTTGTAGAGGATAGGCTATATGAGCCAGCTTTCCTTGTGGTTACTGTACCTTGTCTCGGTGCCATGCTTGTGTCCCTTGAGGGGGACCCGGATGCTGTGGACATCCCTACCCCGTGCTCGTATGCTGAGGCGATCTCAGGGGCCTTGGGCAGCCCAATGGATACAGGCCATGGAGGGAGAGATGACATCTTATAGATCCACTGGCCCTTACGTCGACGCACTTCCTCCATCTGGAGCGAACATAGTCATTGGCATGTTGATCCATAAGGTGAAGCGCTCACCTGGAGAGCCACGGCAATTCAAGACCCGGTACATGGCCAGAGGCTTCAGCCGGCGAGAGGGTGTGGACTTCGTCCAGACCTTCTGACACACCCCAAAGATGACTCCTCTTCGGGTCCTCCTCCAGATAGCCGCACAGACTACGAGCTCCACTCTCTAGACTTCTCGACAGCTTTTTTGCAAGGCAGCCTACACGAGCAGATCTACTCGCGGCGCCCTTCACTGGGTCCTTCACTCCTAGGACCAAGTGGAGCCTGCGTTGCCTAGTCTACAGTGTGCGCCAGGCGCCCCGTGAGTGGCACGACATGCTCCGCACTACACTCGTAGCTCACTGCTTTTTCTAATCCTCTACGGGCCCCTCGCTCTTTGTTCGTGCTGGTTAGAATCCATTATACATAGTTGTGTACGTAGACGATCTTATCTTTGCTACT